ATGGGTCGATTATTTGAATATCTGTGTACAAGGAGTCTGTCGCGAGATTTAGAAATCGAAAGCCAGTCTTAATCGTGATCAGTCACAACTTGCGTAGACATGAAACAGGTGACTTCTTTAGTTTTGAAATAAAAAAAATCATTTTTTTTATTTTTATATTCCTCACTGTAAGCGTTTTGGATTTGCAGATGATGTAATGTTTATACCCACGGAACGAGAAACGGCAAGCTGAGTTTGAATTTCAGTCGAGAGAGAATTGTATTCATCTTTTCTCTTCGCAGGTCAGATTGTGTGTGTATCAGAATAGAAGAAGGACAGATCCGAATTCAAAACTGTTTGTCTCTGGCGGGGCACATACTTGACTTATAACCAAAGTCCAATCAGGATCGCAGCAGTACAAACCACAGTTTGACTTTGTGGGTGCTGAAGAAATACAAGATGGGCATGTTTGTTAGTAGTATAACTTGATAAGTCATAAATGGTATTTTAACAAGATGTATACGCATATATTTTTTCTGTGGACATTCTCGATAAAAATAATTAAAATTAATACTTGTCTGATAAAAAAAAAACGTCCTAAAATATGTTCCACTAGTGGAACAATAGGGTTGAAAAAGTTAATTAATTACACAGATACATCCTAAGACACGTGTGTTGTAAGGTCTGCCTAGAATTTATCCAGCTCTTTCGAAATATCTAGTGAACTAGTTGTTCAGACTTGATGCATCTAATCAAAGATGATCTTAGTGCGTGTGTGTAAACAGATACTCACCTGTGGGGTTACTCAGTCAGCAGAGAGACGTCATTGAGAGTATTCCTGGATATTGCAGGATTATACCCGCACGTGATATAAAGTGATAGCTGTGATTCTAATGAACTAGAAAACGAAGGAGAAACAACAGCATAAATAAGTAAATAAATAAATAAAAAAAAATAAAAAAATAAAAAAAAAACGATGAGAAAATCGTGCCGGGTGGAATAAAAGGAAACACACACAAGCACAAAAAAATGAACATTTTTTTTAACAATTGTATTTCTATTAATTTAAGCCACGGACATGTTTGTAAAATTCAACGAAAACCTCTATAAATTGATTTTATCTATATGTTAATATGTGTTATAACATATTGCACTGTTGAAAATTCCGTGCGTAATATCAACAAAAATAAATTAAATCCAAATTAATGCTAGTCTGGGATAAAAACATTTTAAAATATATCCCACTAGTGGAACAAATGGCACGATAACGTTCACTTCACTCGTCGCATTCACTGATTTCGTTTACTATAACGTCGCATTTATTCGAGATCTCTCATGCAACAGTCACCCAAAATTTCATTATTTCTTACATTGATGTTCAACCTATACAAGACCTAAGAGCCACCCGAGGTAGAGGTTTTGGTTGATTTTGTTTAGTCGCATATCAACCTCTATGGGTTATTTAATGTCGATATTTTAAACAATTTTAAGGCCTCATCTCAATATATACTATAAATGGGTATTGTAAGTAATTTTACTATAAATATGGTTTGGTTTATTTTGTTTTACGGCATATCAACCTCGGCGGGTTATTTAATGCGGACAAGATTATTAGAATATGTATTCTTTGTAAGAGATCAGTTTATATATCAGGTTTCATTGTCGTATTTTTTTTAAAGAGGGTTTTAGTCGAGAGTATAATATATCACAGGTAATTTACTTTCTGCTGGTAAGGTAATATTTTTTAATATATAAATTTATTTTTATACTTTCATAGCGTTTTGACTTCATTTTTGAAGTTGACTATTTGCACATAGCTGGGATCCTAACAGGTGTTACCAACCGGGTCACAGTGGACCTGAATCAGTAATTAAGAGATGGTTCCACATTCCTGAACACCTGCCGATCTACCGATTTATCGTCAAACACCGGACGGCAAGATAGAAGGTTACACAGTAAGAGGCTACATTTATGCAGATATGTAGGGGAAGATAACGGCTAACCCTAGACAGGTTAAGATTGTAGTAATCGGGGAAGCACCCAGTTAGGAGTCGGTTCCACAAAATAGCGGTTCGTAGAAAGAAGCAGCTCGATTGAAACTTACTTCTCACCGATGGAATATGAAGGGAATGACGGTGTTTCGCTACAATGTGCGGAGCATTGTGGATCTTAGCCGTGAAAGTTACATGTGGTGGACCTAAGGAATGCAATTCGTCCGAACACTTTCCATGTAAATAGCGAGAGGTTTGTGAGAAAGGTGTGGTAAGATGGAAAATAAATTACCACCCGCAAGGATTTGTAGAGTAGAAAGTGAAAACTGGACTGATCCTGCCCGTATATACGGACAACAGTCTCCATTTTTGGACTGATCTAATTCTTATAAAAGGTAGAGGATAACAGGAAGAGTCACATAGTTACTTCAGCGGTGATTTTGTTATTTTGTTTTGAGGTCCACCCCACCCACTGCGTATTATCAACAGATTTTTTTATATAGAATTTTATAATCAGTAATTTTTATGTCCTGGGGTTTTTGTAGGTTCCCCTGATAATTTGTGATATTGTGGTATATGTAGTATTGGATGGTGACTGTTGAGGTTTTTTGGTGAATGAGCAAATTGTAAACAATGTGTGGGTCCTGAATCTTCTTAGCTAGGTCTAGGATAGAAACTGTTGATCAGCCTTAGCCCACTTCCTCATTTGCCTTCTGCCGCAATTGTTTCAATGGAAGGAATATATAACTATCTCATGGGGTGTTTTGTAGGTTCCCTTTGAGTGTGCGGTATTGGGGTATACGTAGGATTAAATGATGATGGATGAGTTCTTGTCGTAGATGTGCAAATTGTAAGGAATGAATGGGCCGGGCATTAGCTAGGTATAAGTTAGTAAATGTCGACCAAATTCAACTCATCCCTCACTTTCAGGCCTTGTACCACAATTGTATTTTATGAACAATAAATCTCGCTGTTACTTCAGCGGTACAAGGAATCGACGATTTTTACAGGATGTACGAGTTCCACTTGAGGTCTGGCTTGAATTTAAGTCCCAAGAGTCACTCTAGGCACAAGGCCTCCATAAGGGAGCATCCGTTCATTGACGATAGTTTAACGTCCGATCCCTGGATGAAAACTCTAATACGAATATTTACAACTTATGCGAGAAGAGGAGTATAAGAAATAATTCATATTTTATTATTTAAATTTTTACTCTCCATTGAGGAATTACTTTCCCTATGACGTAGTCAAGTACGAAGTAATACTTTCAGATCATTTTATTCAATAAATTATTTTTAAAAATGAGAGCAAAATATCAAAACTTTATACACGACTTTAAACAAGATAAATAACTACACGCCGACTCAAGCAAAATCTGGCACATGACGGAGTTTCAAGTGAAAGGTTCATCTGTACATGGGGCCAGAAGTTAATAAACACCGCATGTACGCGCGTATCAAGTGACTTTTGAAGACAATTTTGAAGCTAGTTTTAAAGGGGTCGTATCATACACGAGATATAAAATTGCTTTACGTAATGCTAGCTCTGGCTACGCCATTGACTAAACGATATATCCATTTACTGTAGTCAAAATTAGGTCTCTAAAGGTCGTATGTTACTCGAATATATACGGTAGATCTTTTTCTAAACACCATTGACATCAGGAATTAGCTCTATTTCCGATGGAGAGGCATTGCTTGGGGAGATGGCCTCAGAGACTGGATTAATTTGTGTTGCTTCAAGTTGCGTAACTCAAAACAGCTACACGATTTGATACCGACTACATGAAATTAGTGAAAATTAGAGAAACGAATGGTTGCATAACACATTACCGCTGTTTCAGGAAACAGGAGGGAATGAAACCGGATTTTATTGGCTTTAATAAATCATAATTTTCACTGATTCGTTCGACATACACTGATTCATCTGCGTTGATCTTTAGCAACTACACACCTAAAGAGAGACTCGGAAACAGAAAACGCCATTAGCAGTTCCCAGATCGTGTAATTCGATACTGGCTTTGTCTTCGAGCGTGGCTGTTAATCTCAAGCATGCTTAATTAATGGGGTTGCGGCAGAACATCGCAATTTAGCTACAACGTTGGGATTAAAGCTATTTCCTGATTCGTGTGGCATACTACAGGAAGGGACGAATATTGTTTCGCGCTTCATTTGCAAATCTACGGGTAGAGATTCTAGACGAGAGATTGGTGAGCCGAGTTCGAATTCCGGTTGAGATCGTTGCATTGACTTTCGAATATACAGGGTGGTCCGAAAGTCTTGTCTCCTCCTAAAAAAAAAAAAAACTTCCATCAACTGTCGATTAGCCTCCCGGAAGTCCAGACTTCAGGACTTCCGACAACGGTCTGTGGGGTATTATCAAGGAGATAGTTTTGCATAAACGTTACCAGAATACCCATCAGTTGAAGGACGCCGTTTGCAGAGCCTTTAAATCAATCAACAAAGCTGGGCTTCGTGAAATATCACACAGGATATGGCGCCGCATCGTTTTTGTGCTACAAAATGATGGTGTTCATACAGACCTTCTCGATGTGTGACAGCGTCAATGAAAGTGAATAAACTGAATCCAGTACATATGCTTTGTATTACCGCATTACTTGTTCTTCTAGTGTTCTCATTACTTTTTGGTTGGGGTGACAAAATTTTCGAAACACAATACAGATTAAATAGCAGGACGAACTGGACTCTCTAGCTGTGATTGACAACCAATCTAGGAGAAGCAATTCGAAGCCGTATTAAACCCTGATGTTGCATATACGTATAACTAGGGTATACTCAGTATAAGTGCCGTCTAAGCCACCGGTTGACCCTGCAGGTTTTGAAGAAACACAGGTGCGCTTTAGCATATAGTCGTACTCAGAAACGAGAAGCGATGCTGAAGAAGAGAAATCAGATTGATTTTGCCTTCATGACGGAACAGCTCTGATGATGTTGCTCTATGTGCTAAGCATTATGCATGGGGTTACCAACATCACGCTTAGGAAACTTTATTTACTATTGGTTTCCTTCAATGAAGTTTTGTCCCGTAGGCAATAACTTTTCTATAAGGGGTTAGTTAGGGCGAATCCCTGGCAACTGACGCTTGCGCAAAGAGGGGATGCCGAAGAGGATTAATTACTTTTGGCCCTTAGTCCTATGTACACGTCGAAATCCATAGAAATTGTAAACGCATCATATTTCGTTCGAGTGCGATAAACCTCGTCTGTAGACCAGACAAGTAAATCCACCCGTGTGTAGCTCCTGGAGATCTTTCTTTAGGCAGCATATTCCTAATTGATCAAAAGTAATGGGTCAATTGGCATACCCGGTTCTCTACGGCAATATATCGATGAAAGAAGGTTGTCTTTAGCGCATGTCCACGCACAAATCTGCTTGGCTTCCTACATTAAAATATTGGGAAAAAATAGAAATCATCTCCATCAGAAGACAGACAAGTGGCCGAATGTTATTAAGGAGAGTTTTATACAGGAAGAAACTTGTAAGCCTCTTATCAGTTCGGAACCAACGATCAGTCAGATTTTATCGTGTATATTACAAATGAAGTTATCGGTGTTTATAGAAATACTTATCTAATCTATTTATCTAACTGTCTATTTAATCGATCTATTTATGCAATCTAACTATATATTTATCTATCAAATATATCTGTGTAATCTATCTATCTATCTACTTATTCTTTTCGGTTTTATATCTCCCTCATTTTCTTTTTTTTTCGGTTCATATCTATATCAGTCTATTCATATCTATCTATCTTTCTATTTAAAAACTCCTCTTGTCACTCCTTCCCAAATAATAATATTGTATAGTAAACTAAACGCTTTCTACATTTTAAAACGACGCTTGATATAAATGTTTAGAAAATTTTTGTTGAGAAAATTTAATTATATAAAATATAACAGAAAAACAATAAAAAAATTACTACGTTTGATTTGCAAACTTGTTCCGCAAAATTTATTTTCAAATTAGATAAAATGAAATAAAGTAATTCCTATTAATTAGAAATCATTTAATTATGCCTGTCTTTTTTGAGAGAAAGGATGACCCTTTTTTATATTTCTCGAGATAATTGCTTTATTTTTGTTTTCCAATTGTTTTACGTTCGTTTAAGCTCATCTCAAACTTTTCTCTTTCTTTTCTGATAACTAATCAGCATTTGATTCTCTTTTGAAAACCTTTTCTTCGTCTCAGGATCCCCCCTTTAATCTTAACATATCTCGAGTTAAAATGTCGGGGTTCCGTTTTAAAATTTGATAGTCGAATAAATTTTTATCTTCACAGATTATTGGAAACTTTGTAAACGATATTTTTTTTATTAATCGGATATATCTATCTATCTATCTATGTCAATGCCTTCAGATCCTTCAATCTATCTATCTATCTATCTATCTATCTATCTATCTATGTCAATGCCTTCAGATCCTTCAATCTATCTATCTATCTATCTATCTCATCTCCTTCATCTATCTATCTATTATCTATCTATGTCAATGCCTTCAGATCCTTCAATCTATCTATCTATCTATCTATCTATCTATGTCAATGCCTTCCCTTCAGATCCTATCTATCTATCAATCTATCCTTCATCTATCTATCTATCTATCTATCTATGTCAATGCCTTCAGATCCTTCAATCTATCTATCTATCTATCTATCTATCTATGTCAATGCCTTCAGATCCTTCAATCTATCTATCTATCTATCTATCTATCTATGTCAATGCCTTCAGATCCTTCAATCTATCTATCTATCTATCTATCTCTGTCAATGCCTTCAGATCCTTCAATCTATCTATCTATCTATCTATCTATCTATCTATCTATCTATCTATCTCTGTCAATGCCTTCAGATCCTTCAATCTATCTATCTATATATATATATATATATATATATATATGTTCAAATCTCTCTCTTTCGCTATCTGTTCAAATCTATCTATCTATCTATCATTATATAATCATTAATCTATCTATCTATCTATCATTATATAATCATTAATCTATCTATCTATCTATCATTATATAATCATTAACCTATCTATGTATCTATCATTATATAATCATTAACCTATCTATATATCTATGTTCAAATCTCTCTCTCTCTTTCTCTATATATCTAATTATATATCTATCAAATATATCTGTGTAATCTATCTATCTATCTATCTATCTATCTATTTAGCTATCTACCTATCTATTTATCTGTCTATCTATCTAGCTATCTATTTATCTGTCTATCTATCTAATACATCTGTGTAATCTTTGTACAATCTAAATATCTATCTAGCTAATATATCTGTGTAATCTTTCTATTTATCTATATGATCTGTCTTTTGCAATCTAACTCTCTAACGTATCTTTCTTGTAATGTGAGTAATCTATCTATCGATCATCGTCCTGGGTATAACGATAACATACATCCGTGTCCAGGGTAAGACGATAAACTACGTCCAACAGCAAGGCCTCTGATAAGGGGGCTTTGAGGAGTGTGGGACCTCCTCTTAATTGCTACTGTTCCCAGGTCCACCATGACCCGTGGTGGCAGCACCTGTTAGGGTCCCAGCTGTGGGCAAATAGTTAACCCCGAAACTGAGGTAAAAAGCATTATAAAAGTGTAAAAATAGGTTTTAATACCAGAAACACTTTGTAAAAAATATTACCAGAAATAAAGTTTTGAAGAAAAAAGAATATTACCAGCAATACATTTTTGAAAAAAAAAAAAAAAAACTATTAGCAACAATATGTTTTTGAAAATAATATTACCAGCTATACGTTTTTGAAAAAAATAATATTACCAGCTATATATTTTTGAGGAAAAATATTAACAGAAATAGGTTTTTGACAAAACAAATATATTACAAAAAAAAATTGTGGGCATTAAATAAACCATTGAGATTGACATGGCGTAAAACAAACCAAACCAATCTATCTATCTATCTATCTATCTATCTATCTATCTGTCTGTGTAATCTAAATACGTATTTATCAAGCTATCTGTGAAATTTATGTATCGATCTATTTCTCTGTTTTTGTATTCTACGTAATTTCTCTAATATATCTGTGTAATCTATATATTTATCTGTCTTATCTATATGTGTTATCAGTCTATCTATTTATCTATCCATTTATCTACCTATCAATGTGTAAGCTATATATCTGTGTAATCTATCTAAACTATGTGTGTAATCTATTTCATCTATCTTTCTAATCTATCAGCCTATATATGTAATCTATTTATCTATTTATTTTTGTAATCGATTTATCTATGAAATCAATCCATGTATCTAAAATATATGTGTAATCTGTCTCTGTAATCTATCTATGCAATCTATCTATCTATATAATGTATCAGCGTATTCTATCAATATATCTATCTAATATATCTGTGTAATCTATGCGCGTACTTATCAAGTTATCTGTGTAATTTGTGTATCAATCTATTTATCTATCAATGTAATCTACCAAAGTAATCTATTTATTTATCTCTGTAAACTATATATATCTAACTGTGTAATCAGTCTATCTGTGTAATCTCTGTCTCTCTCATATATATATATATATATATATATATATATATATATATATATATATGTGTGTGTGTGTGTGTGTGTGTGTAAAATATCTGTCTGTATGGAACCTATTTGATCTATCTACGTAACCTGTCTGTGTAATATATCTTTCTATCAATCTATGTAATCTATTTATCTGTTTGTTTATGTAATCGATCTATCTATGCAATTTATCTTTATAGCTATCTAATATATCTGGTTAATCTATCTATGTAATCCGCATATATATATATATATATATATATATATATATATATATATATATATATATATATATATATATATATCTAAGATATCCGTGTAATCTATGTGATCTGTGTAATGTATCTAATCTACCTAATGTATCTATCTATTTTTGTATTCTATGTATCTGTGTAATCTAATATATTTGTGTAATCGATTTGATCTGTGTAAACAATCTTTCTATCTAATGTGTCTATTTTTGTAATCTATCTATCTGAGCTATTCTCTTATATATATATATATATATATATATATATATATATATATATATATATATGTGTGTGTGTGTGTGTATGTAAAATATCTATCTGTATGGAACCTATTTGATCTATCTGCGTAACCTGTCTGTGTAATATATCTTTCTATCAATCTATTTATCTGTTTGTTTATGTAATCGATCTATCTATGCAATTTATCTTTATAGCTATCTAATATATCTGGTTAATCTATCTATGTAATCCGCATATATATATATATATGTACCTATCTAAGATATCCGTGTAATCTATGTGATCTGTGTAATCTATCTAATCTACCTAATGTATCTATCTATTTTTGTATTCTATGTATCTGTGTAATCTAATATATTTGTGTAATCGATTTGATCTGTGTAAACAATCTTTCTATCTAATGCGTCTATTTTTGTAATCTATCTACCTGAGCTATTCTCTCGATTATATCAATGCAATCAATTTATCTGATCTGTGTAATATATCTAATATAATTATCTAATGTATCTATTTATTTTTGTAATCTATATATCTGAGTTATCTAATATATCTGTTTAGTCTATTTATCTATCAAACTGACTTATCTGTGTAAACTATCTAATCAATCTATTTTTGTAATCTACCTATCTATCTAATCTGTCTATCTGTTGATCTATATATATGTGTAATCTATCCATCTAGCTATCTAATTTATTTATCTCTCTATATTAACTATCTGTGTAATCCATTTGATCTATCTGTGTAATGTATGTGTCTGTTTAATATATCTTTCTATCAATCTATGTAATCTGTTTACTATTTGTATATGTAATCGATCTATCTATGCAATCTCTCTTTATATCTATCTATCTATCTATCTATCTATCTATCTATCTATCTATCTAATCTCTCTCTATATATATCTATCTATGTAATATATCTGTGTAAACGGTCTACTCATCTATCTTATTTGTCTTTTTTAATCTAGTTAGATAATCTAATTATGTATCTTTTTGTCATCTATCAGAGTAATGTATCTATCTAATCTATGTGTGCAATTTCTCTATCTATCTATCTATCTATCTATCTAATTTTGCTCATTATCTATTTATCTAATTTTGCTCATTATCTATCTATCTCATTTTGCTCATTATCTATCTATCTAACTCATTTTGCTCATTATCTATCTATCTCATTTTGCTCATTATCTATCTATCTCATTTTGCTCATTATCTATCTATCTCATTTTGTTCATTATCTATCTATCTATCTATCTCATTTTGTTCATTATCTATCTATCTATCTATCTATCTCATTTTGCTCATTATCTATCTATCTATCTATCTATCTATCTGTGTAATCTATCTATTTATCTCGACAATGAGCGCGTGGATAGAACAAGAAAAAAACTGTGAATTGAATTTCATCTTTCCATATTTACTTCTAAGTAATGTTTTGTTAACGTTAATTTCCTTTCGTATCCAGTTTAAATACACAATAAGAAATTCTGCATCGTTTTATTTTATTTTATTTTTTCCATACCGGAAACTCGACTAAGGAAGTTGATACCCGGATGTTATACACGCTGAATAAAAATTTATTGAAATCACCATTTAACTTGCGAAAATATCCGTAAGGGAACTTTTGTAGATATTCTCCACAAAAATATTTGAATGCGTTTTGTAAAGACTATTTTCCGCTCGTCCTGGAGAATATGTGTGAGATTTACAATTTAAAACATGTAAATATAATATTTTCAGTAGCATTTGCTTTCAGCGTAATACTATGTAAAGGGTTTTCTCTCTCAATAAAATCTACATATATAATAATGTCAGTTCTTTTCTATGACACAAATATGCGGGTGATCCTTTTGTAAAGGTTATTGTCAGACAAAGCACCGAGGATTTCAGTATTTAAGTCTTCTTCTACCTGCCGTGTTCCTTTAGGACGTTGACGACTATGGTTCATCACAATTTTCTATCCTTTGTAGCTCTTACTAAGATTTAACTTTTCGTTAGCCTACTCCTAAACCTTGTTTCGCCATCCATTTTAATCAAACTCGTCAGGGAGGTTATGTGTTGTTTTTTTGTTTGTTTGTTTATTTTTTTTCTTAAAGAAACTGTTTTATACTACGGAAAAATATTATTTAAAAAAAACAAAACAAAAAAAACAAACAAACTAACATGTTGAACGCACGGGCTTGTGCGACACACTCTTATTACAGCAGATCATATTCAGGACTAAAAAGTGGGCACCTCGGCATAGTGTAACGGTTAGCGAGCTTGTCTTGCTAGAACATATTACGACTGAGTAGTGAGTTCGATCCTCACAGGGTGCTCCATACTTACGGGCCTTCTGCCACATCTAAGCAGCGCTTAGAAAAGCATTTTGGGTCCCTCGGCGTGGTGTAATGGTTAAGCAAGCTTGTCTTGCTAGGTCAGTTACGACTGAAAAAGTGAGTTCGATCATCACTGGATGCCCCATGCTTCGACCTTGTGCCACATCTAAGCTACGCTTGTAAAATCTTGTGGCACCCCAAGGCGGTGTAATGGTTAACAAGCTTGGCTCGCTAGAACAATTACAACTGAGTAGTGAGTTCGATCCTCACTGGGTCCCCCCCTAATTTCGGCCTTGTGCCACATCTAAGCTACGCTTGGAAAATCACTATTCAGGAGTAAAAAGTACTTAATATAGCGTTAACTAAGAAGCCAGGTGTAAACGAATGCGTACTCCATCGGAAAATCAACCTAATGAGTCACATAAAACTTATCATCCTAATCCAGATAGATAAATTACTCAGATAGATAAACAAAAATAGACACAGATAGATTATTTCCGGTCGTGCAGCAGAATTAGACCGGAAATAGAACAAGAAGAGGAAGGTTTCGTTAAAGACACTGGAACAAGGACTTCTCTATTTATGCTCAGATTGATATCAGAAATTGCAATACAAATGCAAAAGAATGAATATCTATGTT